ACCACCTGAAAAGGCTCTAGAAGTTCGTTCCATCGATGAAGAGGCACCCCAGAAGCCTCACCAGACATTGCCCACCTGCCCCGGCAAACGTTTTTTCGTTTTGTTCCGCGTCACACGGACGTTCGCCGGCCCAGATCATGAAGAAGCTCCGGAAACGCGCACGTACTGGGCGCTGATGGGCGCATACGCTGAGCAGCGCAGGCGAGGAGCGGCACGAAAGCACCGCAGCACCGGGGGTTTACACTCCCCGACTTAAATGAAGTGGACAATAGGCTAGTGGAAGACCATTTTCCTCAAACAGGTGCATAGTGCTTCCACTCCCGTTGATTCTGTTCATTTTCAGTGGTCAACCAAAGGTCCCCCGGCTTTGACCCACAGCCAATTCAGTCAGCCCTTTGCTTTTCATTCTGTGGCAGTGGGTCAATACTTGGAGCTCGGTTGACCCTGGTGGGTTAACCATGTGCGGTAATCGAAGGTTCCTGGTTGCCCGGTTGACCCTGTAGGTTGACAGGCTTCCCCGGTGCCTTGACCTGCCGGTCATCAGGAGTTTGAATACGCTTCAAGTGTGTTCGAGGATATTCTGTTCAAATTTTGGAACTTTGGATAGGTGGCGAACTTCCCTTCATAGGATGGTTCCACATAGGCGAACTTCCCAACCGTTGGATAGGTATGCTACCTTTTGAAGGGGGCGGTTCCCCTGCGAAGTCGTATGCAAAGCTACCAGAGAAGATCGTGCACATTCGTGCTGATTCGTGCTGTGGCTGAGTGGTTTCTGATTTTTGTTGTCCTTTTGCTCAGCATGATCATGATCCATCGACAATCCCTTTCATTGACCCATGCATCAGGTGGTTTACTGTTTTATAATTATCATGTGAGCGTCGTTCAAAAACCCACCTCTTCCTTGTTAGTAACCGAATTTCAAAGGCTGATTTCGAGTGTGCTCTCACTGCAGTCGCGAAAGGTTCGAAGGTCCTGCGAAAGGTCTGCGCAAGTCATGTTGGTGACCTGGCCACGCTGCAAGAACAATTGCTCTTCAGACTTCCGATTGCTTTTTCCTGGGTTGGGAAAAAGCAAATTGGAAGTCTGAACCATTTTGCTTTTTTCCCGGCCCGGGAAAAAGCAAATTGGAAGTCTTGACCATTTTGCTTTTTCCCAGCCCGGGAAAAGGCAAATTGAAGTCTAGACCATGTTGCTTTTTTCCCGGGCCGGGAAAAAGCAAATTCGAAATCCGAGCAAATTTGGAATAAGCAATTTGGCACAGACGTCAACTTTTTTCCCAAGGCCCAAAAAATAAGCAACAAGCAGTTTGCATCAGATTTACAAACTTAAATCAAGGAGCCCTGGCCTAATGGATAAGGCATCAGGCTCGGAAGCAGAAGGTTGTGGCCTCAAATCTTCCCTGTTGCGAGTTTTTTCTCCCAGGCTGGAGAAAGCCAGTGGGGATCTGTGAGCCAAATTGCTTTTTCCCAGCTAGCAAATTGGAAGTCTGAGCCTTTTGCTTTTACCAGGCACGGGAAAAAGCAAATTGGAAGTCTGGACCATTTTGCTTTTTGCTGGCCCGGGAAAAAGCAAATTGGAAGTCTGAACCATTTTGCTTTTTCCCGGCCCGGGAAAAGGCAAATTGGAAGTCTGATACATTTCCAATTGCTTCTTCCCGGCCCTTGGAAAATTCTTTGTCGTGGGAAACTGCGCAAGTATGGCGAAAGGTTCGCATTGCGGACGCGAAAGACGACGGGCCAAACCCCACTCTTCTTGCTGGAAGCACGCGCTGGACACTCCAGCTGCAGATGCACTCATAGCATGCCCACAAGTGCAGGTATGTGAGGTGGTGGGTTCTACGGCTGTAATTGCGCATACAACACGGTCGGTGGCTCCAGCGCCGCGCGGTTCTAAGGATGTAACATGAGCGTTGTGTTTTGGTTTTTCCAGGCCCGGGAAAAAGCAAATTGGACGTCTGAACCATTTTGCTTTTTCCCGGCCCGGGAAAACAAGCAAATTGGAAGTTTGAGCCTTTTTTGTTTTTTCCCGGCCCGGGAAAAAGCAAATTGGAAGTCTGAACCATTTTGCTTTTTCCCGGCCCGGGAAAAAGCAAATTGGATGTCTGAACCATTTTGCCTTTTCCCGGCCCGGGAAAAAGCAAATTTTGCAGTCTGAGCCTTTTGCTTTTTCCAGGCCCGGGAAAAAGCAAATTGGATGTCTGAACCATTTTGCTTTTTCCCGGCGCGGGAAAATGCAAATTGGAAGCCTGAGCCTTTTGCTGGGAAAAAGCAAATTGGAAGTCTGAGCCATTTTGCTTCTTTCCGGCCCGGGAAAAAGCAAATTGGAAGCTTGAGCCGGGACAAGTTGCAAATTGGATGAGCGGCCTGGACATCCAGTTTGCCTTTCGTGATCCTGAAAAAGTTTTTTTTTCAGCGAGTGAGGCAAGTTGCTTTCCAAATTGGAAGTCTGATACATGTTGCTTTTTCCCGGCCCGGGAAAAAGCTGAACCCTTTTGCTTTTTCGTGGCCCGGGAAAAAGGAAATTGGAAGTCTGAACCATTTTGCTTTTTCCCGTCCCGGGAAAAAGCGAATTGGAAGTCTAAGCAAAATGGCCTGAGCCGTCTCTTGTTCATGGAGGGTTGCGCCCAACCAAAAACACACCAAAATGAAAGTGGCTTGGTTGGCTGGCTTCCTGTTCCTCGGCAATCAATGTGTCAGTGATCAGAGGACGCAAGACGTGCCAGGGCAACTGCATGAATCCTTGAAAGCCTCTAGCCTCAACGAAAAACCATTTTCGCCGACAGTGGTAAAACCCCACGCGCGAAAGCTTGCGAAAGCTTCGCGAAGGTCCTGCGAAAGGCCTGGAAAAAATGAAAGGACTTTTGAACAACCCCCATGTATTTGAGAGCAAACTTCTCTCTCTATCTCTATCGTGTTTCAGTGGAGTGGGCAACAACATTTGCTAAACAAGATGGTTTCATGGAGGTCTTGGAAGAAAACCTAGAAAAGATCTTGGTACAGGGATTTGGTTGCACACAAAAGCTTGGTTAACAGCAGGATGTTGCACTGGACGCTTGTTGGGTCGCTAGCTCTTTGTATGAGAAGCGGTCCATTTCAAC